AGGACTTCCATCTGCTTGTTTACTCCCCAGTGGCTGCAACAGTCGGAGCTTGGGAGAATCTGAAGCCATGATGCAGGAGCTTCCTCTGGGTCTCCCACATGGGTGCAGGGGCCCAAGTTCTTGGGTCATATTCTGCTGCTTTCCCAGGCACATTAGCCATGAGCTGGATCAGAAGTGGGGCAGCCGGGTTTGGAACTGGCACCCATATGGGACGCCAGCAAAGCAGGCGGCAGCTTTACCTGCCACAACACAGGGCTGGCCCCACAAACTCTCTTGTAATAACTTTTGGGTAGTTGACCACAGAGAGGAACACTAGCTGGAACAAAAGAAAATAAATCCAGGCTGGCATTTTCCATTTCTTCTGGATCCAGCTATGGGAGTTAAGGGACTAGAGTCACTTTAATGCAAACTATTACCTAATTTTCAGATTCCACCTTTCACTTGACAGATATAAATAGAAGAAATGTCAAGTTCTTCATATAAGTAACCTATTTTTGAGTAAAAAAAAAGTCCAGGAAATCAGTGGCATTAGTTCTCTGGAACTCACTTCTTACCTAGATGGCCTTGTGTCTTGGTTTCTCTTGTATCCGTCAAGTTACCTGTTAATGGAAGTGCCTTCCTTTTCACACATCTCGAAGGTTTTTCAACTCCAAACCCCTGTGAATCTGAGTCTGACTGGGCACCAGGGTGGGATTAATATGAAATTAATGGTCCTGACTCCTAGTTCCAAATTGAAAATCATAAAACATCTCTCATAAGTGAACCCAACATGACAGTATGTTTCTTACAAAGAACACCTGGAAGAATAATGGACTGCTTTTTCCCAGAAACAAAGGGCATATTTTAATGGACTAGACAGATTGAGGCACAAATACCAAAAACGAAATATCTGAGTTCTCAGGTTCTGCTTCTGACACTGCATAGTGAATGGTCTTAGATGCTACGTTTAGTGACTGCATTTTCTCCTATGTGAAAATGTGATCATATTCCATGGCTTAAACTCTTCAACATATAAAAGCTACAAAAAGAAAGCCTTTAGTTGGTTTGTATAAAGTTTGGAGCAGAATATTATGGTTACCTGCTCAAATAGGGGAAAGAGTTAATCATATTGGCAGACACCAAGGAATGCTTAATATTATAATGACAGCAAGTTGTCAGATAATTTCACATTTGCTTGGGATAACCCTTCAAGCCCTTCTAAGCCTACAAAGATATATTTAAAATTCTTAAGATTGTAATACTCATAGATATCTGGAAAATCAATTTGTTCAAGAGCCTTTCAATTTTATTAGTTAGATTTGCTGGGACATTTTGGTTATAAATAGTTCACATGGAAATTATTTAAAATCATAAAGTAGACTCTTTTTATTCTGCTTGGGAGCTTGGGTTTGGAGTCTATGACTTCCGTGGGCTCTCGTATGTCCCAGGAATATATGGGTAATTAGTTTTAGCAGTGCTTACAGCACATGGTTTCAGTATAGAGTAGACAGTTTTGACCCCAGGAAAACAGACATAATGTTATTATTATTATTTTTTTAAAAAAATAAGAGCACTTGAAGAAATCCAGAAATAAATCCCGAGTTACAGTAAACAAGGCAAGGCAAGGCTTACTCATCACAGGCAAAAGGCAGGCTCATTAAGGAAGGTAATTATTACCTCTGACATGTAGAACCGTGTGCTGCTTTAAATTAAGGTTCTTAACGAAGCATTTCATTGTGTGTCCTTAACGGAGGAATTTAAGGAGGCAGCCTTTCTTCCAAAGTCAATGTGAGCGGGATTCTCTGTTCAAGAGTTGTACGGTGAAGCATATTTCAGGAAAGAATAGTTCATGGGGATTAAGTACACGAATGTACATGCGATTTCAGGACAGAATGCTGTGCACTGCCTGCCCATCCAAGCCATGTGCTTACACGTGGAAAATTTCAACTTTGCCATATGCTAAGGATATGCTAATGAATTTTCGAAGGAGACAGATGACAAGAGCATGGTTCTTGTCCCTTTTCTGCTAATTAATGAATGATCCTGAATAAAGAGTTTCAAGAGAAAGTTGTCTAACAAGTAAATGTTTGCTTTTTTCGTTGATTAGTTTCTGTTTAATTCAACGCTATTGCTCAACATTTTGTTCCTGTGTTGTGTCGCTTTTAGGACTTAGGAGAAACTGCATGCCATTTGAGATTTAAGCATAATCTCACCCCTCCTCTCACAAGATGAGAGTCTGGATCACCAAAACGAAACATTTTGTACCTATCTATAAGCAGTCCCTTCATCAGAGAGACAGTATTGGGCACCAACATCAACATCTTATGATACTCATATTCAGGTATTTTTTATGCTTTGAGGAAAATAAATGGGTTTCCAGTGAACGTATTTCTTTAAACAGTTGTATTTTAAAGCGCTGCCTTTCCTGAGTTATAAATACCTCACTAAACACTGCACTTTTACATGAAATGAGGCTGGTGCTGAAGTCTAAAAAGTTTGCAGTCTAACTCTTTCTCGCACACAGCTAAATTCTGGAAAACCTATAGCCCATTACCATGATTTCCCCAAGGATCTTCACCTGTTCCATCTAAGAGTAAGTGATAGTATAGCAATTTTGCAACCTCATTCCCCCCATCTATCAGACGAGCAGCAATGTCTATCAAACACCCAGGAGACAAGCTAGTCCAAGATAGAATCTATGATCTGTTCCTACTATAGAGAAAAAAAGTCTAAATCTTTCTAAACTTGAGCATGCGAGAGCATTTGAGTGTGACCCATAATATTACCACCTGGTTAAAATCCATTTCCAGTTAAATTACAAAGTCCTATTGTCATTCTCACACACCTCACTATGGGAATTCCAAGCTTGGTTCATGTCCTTGGTAAGTGCTCAGAATGATGTTTAAGGTCAAATACGGTATGACATGAGCAGTTATGTCAGTGCTTGATGCTGACCTAGCTGTAGTCAGTTTCCATCATGATGTCATGCTTAAAATATATGTTTAGTCTGTTTTTAAAATAAATACATCATTTTCTGATTTGGTTACATGCTATCTTTCCAATCTTGACGACCAGGGCAGGCTTTATTCATTTCTGTTTTTCCCTCTGCATTATTTATAGATACAATAGATGTCCCATCGCTGGTCATTTTAATCCATCGATTATATTGCTGTACATTCCCTGTCTTCCAAAATGAAATGGAAAATAGAGGGAAGGAAGGATGTGTAAAGGCTGGTTAACAGGGACTAAGTTATTGGTAGTTAGGAGAAAAAAGTTCTGGGGTTCTGTTGTACAGTAGGATGACTCTGGATGGCAACGATAAATCTAAGAGTAAAAAGAAAAAATCTAGGAGACAGAATTTTTAGGTGTTTTCACCATAAAGAAATGATAAATATTTGTCCTGGTATAAATATGTATCAAGACATTACATGGAGAAAATGAATGTTTATAATCTTTATGTATGAGTTCTTGCCCGGTCAGAGCAGGGAAGGGCTGTTATAGAAGAGAGAATTCAAACGTGGTGTGGCTCATAGGATTGCGAGAGGATGGCAGGGCACAGGTGGGTCACAGGTAACGCTTGTCTTACTTTCACTCACTCTCCTTGATGCTTCTGTTGTGTCAGCTGCATCAGGTGTCGATGAGCTGAGATCTTCTTGTGTTCAAAATATTTCTGTAGTAACCCTACCTTATCCTACAAGTAACTGTGGAATCACAGAGGAGAGAGTACTCAGTATGGTTCTTACTTACTCAAGCATCCAATCAGGCTTCCTTTCATCATTCCTGATCTGCAGGACTGCATACATATGGACCCATTGCCTCTATTTTTTGAGGCTATTAGTAAAGATGTAATTTGTTTCTTGTTGGCCTTTCACAGCGTGGAGTAGTTTGTTATCATACATCTGCCAACTGCTCTTCATCCTAAGTATTCTTGGAATCTTTCATCTGCTCTCCTGCTTTCTCCAACACCTTTTTATTATGAGATGTTTTTCTCTTGAGTCCCTTTGTTCTCATTTTAATAACATTTCATAAGTGAGAAAGAGAAATATCATCGCTCAACTTACAATGATTGATCAAATGTATCCATTCCATTGCTTTTTTGAAGGCTAACAATGCCTTTCTCTTTGAGTCACTGTCTACTTACTGTGTCAATCCTTAATTTATTTTCCTTAGCACTTGTTATTACTTACTATTTTCCTGTATTGCATAATCTGACATATTTGCAATTCTTTCCCTATTTTTTCATGTTCTCTCAGTGTAGATTTTTCTTCAAAATTTATCTATCCCCTTACTTTGAAAGTTTCCAAAAATGCTGTTTATGTTCTTCTTTCACCTAAGGATTAATTGATGCAATATATGCCAGTCAGTTATTGTACTCTGCGGCAGAAAATAGGAGCTCAATATAACCACCTTTGCAAATTACCTCACATAGCTTCTTTTGCTTATCATCACATCTATCAAATTTGATTGTAATTTATCCAAGGTCTGGATCTAAATTTGATTTGCCTTTGTGTGTTTAACCTCTAGAACTATGACCTGTGTGTGTGTGTGTGTGTGTGTGTATAAAACATTTGATGCTTGATGAGTGATTGTGGAAAGAAAAAAGGAAATTAGCAAGAAACAAAGGAATAAGAAGTTGATTTTATTTGCAAGAATTTGTAAACTACCCAGGAAGCATTAAAAAATAACCATGATAGTTTATTTGGTTTCCTAATGAATAAAAATACTGATAAAAAAACTTACACTTTGGGATATCTCTTTCAGATATGCAAGAAAATAGCATCAGAGTTTTAAATTTGAGTTCTTGGGGGTAAATAAGAAAGTTTTATTAATAACTACAGCTTTCATGTTTTATTAGCTACACTGGTAAGTTTTATTCTTCTAAATTGTGTAGCACAACTTATGTCACACACACAATGTAACAAACGCCTACCAGACATAATGTATCTTGATCAGTAGTGGTTTTATTATTAGTTATTCATTTTCATTTTATTTGTATTTCATTTCCATATTATTTATTTAAGGGAGAGAGAGAGAGAAACAGACAGAAAGATCTTCCATCCACTGGTTCATTCCCCAGTTGTCTGGAACAGCTGAGAAAGGCCAAGCTGAAGTCGGAACTCAATCCAGATCTCCCAGTTGGGAGGAAGATGCTCGGTACGTGAGCCATCACCCGCTACCTTCCAAGGTATACATCAACGGGAACCTGGAATCAGAAATGGAGCTGAATTCAAACCCAGGTACTCAGATATCATTTCTGCTGATGCACCAAACACTTACCCTGTGTTCTAAATAACTAAAACACATGAGAAAATGATTATATAAAGCTTTGATTTTTAAAATTGCATTGAAATGCCTGAAAAGAGAGGATACAAAAAGATCTTCTCCATCTGTTTTGTCCCTAAAGAAAGTCATGATTACAGAGGAGAAACGCATAGCTAGCTAGACCCATGGGTATGAGGAGAGACTGTATGTACTGGTTTAATTTAAAAATGTCAATGTAAGTACGATAAATAAATTTTGGAAACATTTTGGGGCTGGTCTCCCATATGGGCACTGGTTCATGTCCTGGTTTCCCCACTTCCAATTCAGCTAACTGCTGATGGCCTGGGAAAAGAAGGGGAAGATGGCCCAAGTTCTTGGGGCCCTGACACCCTTGTGGGAGACCTGGAAGAAACTCCTGGCTCCTGGCTTCCGGCTCTGGCTTCGGTTTTGCCCAGTGCTGGACGTAGCAGTAATCTGGGGAATGAACCAGTGGATGGGACATCTTTGCCTCTCTCTCTCTCTCCCATCTCTGTAACTCTTACTTTCAAATGAATATATAAAAATCTTTTTAAAAAAAACTTGGAGACATTTAACATGGCATTTCCACTTATCAAAAGTGTTGGAGAATTCTCTGAAATGTGCTTTGTATTTCGTTATTTCTTGTTGATACATCCTTTCTCTTTGAGACATTCCTTCTAAGCAGAATGCTTCTTCAGAGCTAAAGAAAGCATTTGAAAGCCTTACAGAGGGTTGGCACTGTGGCTCACTTGGTTAATGCTCCGCCTGCAGTGTCAGCATCGCATATGGGTGCCGGTTCTAGTCCCGGCCACTCCTCTTCCAGTCCAGCTGTCTGCTGTGGCCTGGGAGTGCAGTGGAGGATGGCTCAAGTACTTGGGCCCCTGCACCCGCATGGGAGACCAGGAAGAAGCACCTGGCTCCTGGCTTCGGATCAGCACAGCATGCTGGCCGTAGCAGCCATTTGGGGGTTGAACCAACAGAAGGAAGACCTTTCTCTCTGTCTGTAACTCTACCTGTAAAATAAAAAAAAATAAAAAAAAATAAAAACCTTACAAAGACACTGTTCAGCAAGCCTCTCTCTCCCTGCTGGAGGTGGGCTGGAGATCTATGAGTGATTTTTTAGAATAAAACATCAGGGGAGTGAAGTTCACTCTTTTGAAGCAAATGACCTTTGTGAAAAAAATTTGTATTATCTCAAATTGCCAGAACCACCCCATAGCCACCCATTTCTCGTGTTAACCAGTTACCAAGGCCCTGGTGATGACTTTTTCAAGGTGGCATGGCGGGGACTTCCTCAGTGACTCTAAAAGTCTAGAAAGGCGATTGACTGAGTTAACACTGGCCATATCATCTTACATTTTTTCAATCAAAATCACTCTTGAGATGATGCTCAAGGCCTTTCTTTTTTAAGTAACAGCAGAGTGTGGAGGGCTTAGCTTTAGGCTAGGTCCTGAGCAATCTTGCTTTTCTTTCTGACTTGATATTGAAGTGAAGTCTTGGACTCAATGAAATCCTGCTGTCTCAATCATTTCTTCAGATAAAGAAACGTCTTTTGCTGAGGCTTCTCTCTGCACGTGGTTCTCTCAACAACATCCACAGAGACTGAAGAGACACAGATGACAACAAGAAAAGAGATTCTTGGAGGAAACCAAGGAAACACAGGTGCTTCTACCCATTTTCATAACTGACCAGTTTGTGAAATTGCGTAGGCTGAAAAGGAAGCCATGAGCGGTAAGGTGTGCAGCGTCCCTTGCCTTCTGGTCTCCACGGGCCACCACGGGAATTTTGGAATTGGACCAACAACAGGTGGTTACAATCCACCCCCACTAAGTGTGTGTTCACAGAGTACACAGTGGGAGATCAGGTAACACTGGGGAAGCTGGGAGGAGCACTGTCTCCCGAGGATTTTAGCTTCCCATCAGGAGAGCTAAAGTGGCTATAAGAAAAATGCCATGTGTGTGGAGAGCATGAGGGAAGGTCATATATCTCAGAAAGGAATATTGTTTACAAGGAGTGTTAATAGGTTTCAGGGGAAATGTTAATTTTTTTCCCCTGGATGAAATAGCTACTGTAAGTTTTTAATGGTTAATCATTCATTCCTGAATTTTTATATTAAGCATTTCATATTACTTTATTGACTTAACTTTTGTGCTCTTCTTCATTTTGACAGTAAAGAATGACCAGGCAATACTCTTTGAAAATTGGAGACCATTTGCAGCTGCTCTCTGTTGAGGAAAGTGAATAATAGGGTGCCCTCAAGGAATTTCAAAGGTATCACTCAACAGAAACTTTTGTGTCTGAAGAAAACTGGATCATTTTATCATGGTAGGCATACTGATATGTTTGCTTTAATAAAATGCCATATTTCTGCCTTTAATCTCTTGTCAACCCACTATGAAAGGGCCCCAAAGTGCATGCGTGCAGCACATGTAAACACTTGTGGTTTTGAGGTTACCACAGAACACACTAATAAAGCATGTAATTTGTGTTTTGTGCACAGACTGTAATAATATTGAGTGGTAGAAGGAAGCTAGAAAAGGATTGTCTCCAACTTTAGCCAAGCAAGTCAAGTTGATTGTAGCGCTCTACACACAGGTGCCTGTGTATACATGTAGGAATGTCGAAGTTGTATTCAAACAGATCAGGAGTCACCATATAAAAACGAGGCAGGATGTAAATTCATTTCACACACAGAGGGCATCGTATCAAGTGTCTGGATGCTTCTCCTTAAAGCTAATCAATCAGGAAGGTTGACAATATTGTCAACCTTAACAGGATGTCAATTGAGTGAATTCAAGTAGATTAAAACAAATCATAAGAGTAATTACTTTTATAAACTTGGTGAACGTTATTCCCCATAGCCCCTGACAGAAAAGGGCATAGGAGGGGCTTTGACCTCTTTTTATTTGGGATGACAAGATGTGGAAAGTTGAATCACTTCTAAGGGATCTTCCAAGTGTTCACTCTCAGACTGCAACTCCTGCCATGCTTATCTGAGTAACCATTTCAACCATTTACGTAACATATTTACAGGTAGGGATTCTTCCATTGTACCTTAGTCATCTTTACTTGCTCATTTCTTTCTTCGCAAGATACCTTGCTCACAATAAATCATCAATACTCATAATTTGAGTGGGAAGTCCTTGACTCTCTGAAAGAAATGATACCCTTACTGATTATGTGTCAGTTTCTTTTTTCTTTTTTAAATGCAATATTCTGTAAGTTGGCATTGAAACCACGCTTTCCTCAAACAAAACCATGTTCAGTGGAGAAATACCTGTTCCCAGAGAAATCGGTGTTAGGTATCCAGAACAAGTTTATTCCCCAAAGCTGTAGGCACTCTTCTTGGGAAGCAATTGACAATTCTCTATGCTTTTATTCTTTTTCTTAAAGTATATTTATTTATTTGAAAGTCAGAGTTAGAGAGGGAGAGGGGGAAAAAGACAGAGAAGGAGGGAAGGAGGGGGGGAAGGAGGGAGGGAGGGAGGGAGGGAGAGAGAGAGAGAGAGGGAGAGAGAGAGAATCTTCCATTTGCTGTTTCACTCCCCAGGTGGCTCCAATGGCCAGGGTTTGAATCAGGCCAAATCCAGGAGTCAGGAGCTTCTTCCGGGTCTCCCACATGGATGGCAGGGACCTATGCACTTGGGTGATCTGCTTTTTGGACCTGGATCAGAAGTGGAGCAGCCAGGACTTGAACAGGTACCCACATGGGTTGCTGGAGTTACAGGCAGCAACTTTAGCCACTATACACAATGCCACCCCCCTTTCAAAGAGACTTATTTGTTTATTTGAAAGAGTTATGGGGGAGGGGGACAGAGAGAGAGAGAGAGAGAAAGGAGAGAGAGGAGAGAGAGAGAGAGAAAGAAAGAGAGAGAGAATGGTTTTATTCTTAAAATGAAACTATGTATATCATGCCGGCTCCGCAGCTCACTAGGCTAATCCTCTGCCTAGCGGCGCCGGCACACCAGGTTCTAGTCCCGGTCAGGGTGCCGGATTCTGTCCCGGTTGCCCCTCTTCCAGGCCAGCTCTCTGCTGTGGCCAGGGAGTGCAGTGGAGGATGGCCCAAGTGCTTGGGCCCTGCACCCCATGGGAGACCAGGAGAAGTGCCTGGCTCCTGCCATCGGATCAACACAGTGTGCCGGCTGCGGTGGCCATTGGAGGGTGAACCAATGGCAAAGGAAGACCTTTCTCTCTGTCTCTCTCTCTCTCACTGTCCACTCTGCCTGTCAAAAAAAAAATATATATATATGTATATCAGTTTTCAATGTGAAGATAGATCTTTTGTGGTACATACCTGTTAAATCTAAGAGCTAAATGAACGAGTACTTTGGGTCACCTGTGGGGAGCAACTCGGACTAGACTGTTACTGGAATTAAGACTTATTCTATGCATCTGCTCTCCCACAATATGGCGCTGGGAGAGAAGGAAACAGCTTCTACTCAGCTGCCTCTCGCCAACTTGAGTGATGACCTGCAGGAGCTGAACCTGCTCCTGATTGGAGGAGAGCAGTGTACTCGGCGTGTGGGTAGCAGAGTTGGGATTGGTGGAAGAGGACTATAAAGGAGGAGAGAGACAACATGCACCAGGAACATCTAGCTGAAGGAACACCTGTGCAGCCCCCGAGAGAGCCGGCCGGCGGTGTGCCACTCCCCCGCGGAAGTGGGGAAAGTGGCAGGGGGCACCGCCCTTCCATGGAGGTGGAAGGGTCGGTAGCCAATCCTGGAAGAACCAGCAGCAAACCCGGGGAGGGCCGAGCAGACAAAAGAACAGCGCAGGGTCCTGTGTCGTTCCTCCACGAAGAAGGGGAGCGACATCACCTTTAAGCGATAAACTTTGCTTTCATTTGGATGTATATTTGCCTATCTAATCAACCACCTCCAATTGTCCATGATCTCAGTGACAGGTCAAACTCTTTGTTAAGAGATACATAAACAACAGTGTTTGTCTGAAGGAGACCCCATTTGAAGAGAAATCAGATGGCATCCAGATAAGCAAGGCTGATTCAACCTAGAAAGAAATTTTCTACGATGCACTAAGCCAGCTTCCTGGACATAGGAGAAGGAACTGTGAACTTCGTGCCATTCCATCATTTCTGTGAGTTGAAATGATCTACCATATAATCATTGGCTTAGAAAATGAAAACACACAGAAAGGAGAAGTGAGATAAAGGGAGGGAGACAAAGAAAAAAATAAGAAAGAAAATGACCAGAAAGCCATATTATTCTGCTGTTTCTCTTGTGTATGTTGACTGACAATATTTTGTTTGTAGTAACAGAGATATTGGGGTCAAAGTTCACAAAAAGCCAGAACATTTTCAGATTAAAAGTTAGAATTTTAATTTTCAGTTGACAGTTTCTGTTTGAAAGATTTTTAGATTGGCATGTTATATAATAGATATGAAAAAGTAAAGCTTGGTTATTTAAGTAGCTAAGTTAAAACAAGCTTAATTGGTGACTCTTCGCCTTAGCAGCCTTTTATTTTTCGATTTCCTGAATCTACATGGGTGCCAAATCATCTTTCATGAAGTGCCTGTAAGTGGAGTCAATTTCTTTTAAAATACACACGTGTGTGCGTGCACACAGACCATGCTGTGGGTGGGGAGGGAGCAAACAGAAAAGACTCAGAGTCAAAACAAAGTGAGCTTCCAGGGTCATGTTTAATCTGAAACTTTGTGAGGCTGCGCAGGTTCACGGATATCAAACTTACTTTATTGTAACGTGATAATCAAAACAGTTGTTGAAAGATTTTAGATACAGATCAGATTCAGCTCTGAATAATGACAAAAATGAATCTATCTAGACTGCTACATATAAACTATACTGTAAATTTTAAATATTTAAAATTAAATAAGCATCCACTAGTAACTCTTTTCAGGATTTTCGCCTTTTAAATGAAATTTGTGTACAAACAGATTAAAATTCCTATTTGAAGTGGTAAATGTAAAGTAATTCTACGATTATTACACAACCATGCTTGATATTAAAACACAGGCATGAATATAACAGGACACAAATGTAAGAGGTGTAACAAGTCGGTTTTTTCCTCAATAGGGATTGAAGAAAAGACAATATTTCTTTTTCTTAGTTAATTGTCCCAGAGCTCACATGTATTCCTTTATGTTGAGGTCTAAAATTAAGGAATAAAAGGCAGAACTAAACAGGATGCAACAAATTCAGATTCCAAGGTGTTGGGGACTCTTTATGCTTTTTTTTTTGTAAGCATTGATCTTTTAAAGTAATTTTGGAATTCAATATTCTAGTGCCAAAACTTCCCATGATTTAAGTTTTAGTAGATGTGAAATATCTAGATGTAGATTCAGTTACAGCTGGGCTAGAGTTTGTCAAATGTGACCTCTTAAAGAAAATTATTATCCATATCTATTAGACTGATAATTTACATTGGTTCCACCTTGGTAGCTACTTTTCATATTTAAAATAATCAATAGCTCTGAGTGAACATTAAAAATAAATTCTGAATCCAATCTTTCAACCTAGCTAGTTCAAATTATTTGTAAATTCAAAGACAAAACCTTCTAAATTCTGAATAAATTCACATTCATTCTACGTAATTGCTCCACAGAATAATGAAAGAATGAATGAACCTCCACGCATCTAGTGGGAACTGCTCATGCATGAAATAATCATTTACTCTGAATGAACCTTTAAGAAAATCATTCTAAGGGCTGGTGATCGGGGAGTAAACAAGACATTAAATTTCTTGCCCTTTGGGAGTTTACATTCTGATGATTAAACTTCGTCAAACACAGTTAATTCATTTCCAAGTAAACACCAACGCAATTGGGAAAATAATTCTTCTCATTCTCTTTTTCTGACTCCAGTGGTTTCCCTTTTCCACCACCAGGAACAAGCTGTGAAGGCCTACGGACTGGTGTCTGTGCAGGTGCAGCTATCTCACGGTGGACGTGGGGCCTGCAGGGCACGTGCGGGTCTCGCTGCACAGGTGCCCTACTCCCCCGGCGGGCGTGTGCTGCTGCTCTAACCAGTGCGCTAGCTCGTGCGCTATTATCAGAAAGTATCTAAGCTTTCAATTCCGGAAAGCTGGCTTGTACTAGGAAAGCGAAGCCAAAGTAGAAAACGTGCATCCCTTGTTTCCCCCAGAAAGGTGAACAACTCCCCACACGTAATGCCCACCTGTACGCACGTGACTGGGAGAGACTGAGGGTTTCCTTGAGAGGAGATGGAAGCAACCATGTAGAAAGGGGAGAACCCCATTTTTTCTGCAGCATATATCACTGTTTGCGTTTTCTGATGTAATAGTAGCCAGGATTCTGGCTGCCGCTTGAAGTCCTGTTTGATTTTTCTCCCGAGGCAATTCTGCGCTCACGTTCCGTTTCCTGTTAGAGCTCTCACTGCCTTGCATCCTTCACCCTGGGGAGGCGCCCAGGCTGTAGCGGGGCTCTACAAATGTGGAGCAGATGGAGGAGCAGCCATGCCGGCAAGAGCTATCGCCTGACAAAGCGGGGCTTCAGGATCGGAGAAACCGCGGCACGGATGAACCCACTGCGGTGGGAAAGGTGTGTTTGGAGACAGGAGAACGGAATTTTGAATCTTTGATTGATGAAACCTCAGCCTCATTGCTAAGTCCTGGTAGTGCCAGCAAGCTCCCTTTAGCTATCCTATCCGCTAGACATGGTTTCAAGTGCTTTGTTTATTAATTCTTACAGTTCTCCAAGGTAAGAACTATAAACATTCCCATTGCACCAGAGAGAAAACTGAGGTACAAAGCAAAGCAGTAAGTTGCCTGTGGTCACACAAAGGCTTGACAGATCCAGAAACTATGAAATGGGAAATTTTTTTTTTATTTTTATTTATTTATTTATTTATTTATTTATTTATTTATTTATTTTGACAGGCAGAGTGGACAGTGAGAGAGAGAGAGACAGAGAGAAAGGTCTTCCTTTGCAGTTGGTTCACCCTCCAATGGCCGCCGCGGCCGGCGCACAGCGCTGATCCGATGGCAGGAGCCAGGTGCTTCTCCTGGTCTTCCATGGGGTGCAGGGCCCAAGCACCTGGGCCATCCTCCACTGCACTCCTGGACCACAGCAGAGAGCTGGCCTGGAAGAGGGGCAACTGGGACAGAATCCGGCGCCCCGACCGGGACTAGAACCCGGTGTGCCGGCACCATCTGCTAGGTGGAGGATTAGCCTAGTGAGCCGCGGCGCCGGAAAAATTGTCTCCCTCTTTGCAGTGCTCACATTGCTGTAAAAGCTGTATGTGAAACACTCAGTAAACGCATGATTCATATGGATTGGTCAAGGAGTTAGGTTAGGTTCCCGAGCTAGAGGTCCCACCTCCCTTGCCCCCATGTACTCTCACCTGTATCTACCACCTGTCAATCAGACTGTGTAACCACTCTCCTTCTGGAAGTGCGTAAGAGGCCTGGAGAGCTCTGGGCCATCTCTCTCGGCTGTGTGCACTCTGGCTTGTGCTCTCCATCTCATAGTATGGAGCTCCCCATTTACTCTTTTTGGTCCACTCTCCCTTAAAAAAGCCCTCACGTTCCTGGTATTCTTCTCACTCTCTAAAAAATCCTAAACCTTATCATCCTATATGTCTTGTTTGAGTTGGTGTTTAGAATTCTTCTCTAAGTAAATGGCAAGAACCCGAAATATTAAATTTTGACTTAGTTAAGCCCATCACATAAATGGGGACCATGAAGGGACTTTAAAGGCAGCAGCAAGATAAGTGGGTTTCCAACGGTTTAAGTCCTGAAAATTTTCTGTCTTCTAGCCTCTCTTCTCTCAGATTTCCTGGTTTGGAAAAGTCAGCTAAAATGCAAATGTTAATATATTTTATGTTCCTAATTTTGGTCGTTTCAGGGGAGCAAAGCTAACACAAAATTTTAGCATTTATGGAATTAAGGAGAAAAAGTGAAAAAAAAAAGGGGCCAGTTTATGAATGTTTTCTGATATTTAAATTCTTCCAAGTTGTTTGTGACATGTTTTTAAGGATAATTTATGTATTTGGGAAAGTTAAAATTTAAATCTTTTAGTTGTATGGAAGGATTTCATGGTTATCGACAATTGGTTTGCCTCAGGTTTTGATTTAAAAAATCAGGCATTCCGGAGCAACTTTTAATTTGCCGGATTTGGGTGGTACAAACTGGAGAAAAAACCACTTCTGTTGCCTAGTAACCGCATGTTTTGGGAAGTGGAAGTTCGAACATGGTGGAGGGTCCATCTCCTCTGGCGAAGGGTGGGATTTCCATCCTAAAATGGCAGTTTCCGGGAAAAAAAATAAACAAGTGGTTGTCAAGTGGGAGGATACCATGAGGACTTCTGTCCTTACTGGAAGATGGGCAACAGACTCCACCCCCAAGATAGCGAACCCCTGTGGCTGCCCACACGGTGCACACCTAGTTAGTACAGTGACTTTTTATTTTTCTATTTTAGTCTGTTATTTTCATGGCCATGCACCGGATGGCAGAATTCATGTAATTGGATTCCTGGTCTTTTTTTATTTTAGCTGTTTATTTTTTTATTTCATGGCTCTGTGCTGGTCACCTCTTGAATTCTCTGGTTGGTTATTTTTTTGTTTATTTTTGTTTTTCATGATTTTAGCTTTGCACCAGTTCCCTTATATTTTAGTTTGTTATGTTATGGCTTCATGCCACCTCCCTTAGGTTCCGATATTATTTGTTTTGTTTTGTTTTTAATCTGTTATCCTATTTGGCTCCACACCAGTCAATTTTTAATTTTTTTTATCTTTTTTGGCTATGCATCAGAATTTGTTGGCCCCCTGGGATTTGGTACCCCTCACCCCCCTGCCAGGAGTGGTATGGCAGTCGAATGGTGCTTTTCAGACTAAGCAGTGTTCTTCTTATTACTTTTTATCCTTAAAAATTATTTTAGCTTCACACTGGTTCTCTGTGGCCTCTTGGGAGTTGGTGTGCATGGCAGGCAGTTTTCTCTGTGGCTTCTTGGGATGATGTGTCCCAGACCAGGTAGTTGTCTCTTTGTTTTTGTATGGTATTCTGGCTTTATGCTGGTTTTAAAAAAGGGAGGAAAAATTGGGAGCCCCATCAGTGCACTGGCTAAAATAATAGACCCCATTTTGCATACAAATGGAGACTCTAGGGTGTCAAAATTATAGCTAATGCGATGTATCCGAGTCATATGCTTAAGGATAATAAGGCTCTTTGAGAGCCATGTTTATTATTATTTTCTCTTGTCCTACAGAGAGACTGTTCAACTCTATGGCTCCACATCCATTCCTATGGACTTACTTCTAAGGGCACAGTTTGAAAACTTGCCATGGGATCCCACGTCCCCATGAGCTGGATGGTAAAAGTAGCATTTTAAAGTGATTAATGATAATATAGATAGGGTCAAAGAGGAGGGGATGCATCAACATGGGAAGCAGTCCATACAGC